GTCGTCGTAAATTTGGTTGTTTCAAGCTTTTACACAAACAAATAAAGAAACTCCGCTAAACACTAGCCAAAACTGCAAAGGTTATAACGTTTACATCTGTTCTGTGATGTCGCGGAATACACAATGTAAAAAACAATGTTGCCAACTGTTGTGTGACGTAACCAATCGTCATATCCACAGACCAAGCGACGCACATTTGCGGCAGATATCCCTCTAGACCGATACGATAAAATCCGGGCTTTTAAATAGACCGTTGCTAAGAAATACGCTGTTTAATAACATTAGAACACCGACGCAAATGTGCGTCGTTAGTCTATTTCAATGTGACCAGCTGACGCAAATATGCGTCGGTGGTCTATTGTGAGAAACGAGTCGACGCACAATTGCGTCGCTGGTCTATGCCCCATATAATTCCATATAATTGCTGGTAAATTCCATATAATTGTGGTAGCGAACGTGTTAAACAACATATTTTTTTATTATAACTAAATTTTTTTGAATTGATTTTTTGGCTTTTGGAGGCCCCCTTAATCCGGAGGCCCTCGGGGATCGCCGACCAGCCACCCTGGCCAGACCGGGCCTGGATCACATCGTCACATTATACTTCACTGTCACCTCAACAGAAGATTTCTTCTAAAAATTTGTAAATGGGCTCGATATGTTACAGGGTCAACACAATGATTCCGTCGTTTTTTTATTTCATACAAATTTGTCCTAAGGTATGTCTTTTTAAATGTCTTTTTCAAGAGTTGTTAGCCTCCGGATTACGTTTGAATATTTATAATGGTTTAAATACCTGCATTCAGTAATCCAAAATGTTGCTTGTGGCAACTATAGTTTCAATTCACAGGGAATCATCAATTCACCACCCAGGCGCGTCACCTGTCTTGTGTCTCTGAGTATTCGGTATTTTTAATGTTAAATGTCCGTCTTTCAATATGCGTATTCGTGTTCCATGTACTTAGTTTTTAAATGACGACCTTCATATACGGAGATGAATAACGACGCCGTGTACGGCCTGAAGATGATTCCCTGTGAATTGAAACTATAGTTGCCACAAGCAACATTTTGGATTACTGAATGCAGGTATTTAAACCATTAAAATGTCTCCTTAAAAATATCACATTTATTCCCTATTTAAATAGCATTAATTAGTTTAACGGGTACTTAGGTTTGCTGTAACACAAGAGTAAAACAGTCTCTTTTTGTAAATTGTTAATAGTTTAGTATGAAATAAATGCATTTTCCAAATTTGATCAAAATATGTTCATTAACTAACACGTTCAGTGCTGACTACATCAATTGATGTAGTCGCGCCACAAGCTCTCCTATCGGCATACATCAATTGATGTAGTTGCGCAACCAGCACTACATTAGTTCAATATGAGCTAATTGCCATTGCCGGGGAACGTTAAAATTTAAAATCGTTGCTAGCCTGTAGCTTAGAATGTGAGCTTTGTTTTGGTGTAGGTTGGTACTCAAATTTCCAGTAAAATCCCGTCTGACAATGCTTTTGTCCCGGTTTCGGGGATTTTCTCTCTTCAAGCCACATTACAAAGACACTGACACTGATCCAGGCAGTGCTGCTACCGTAGGGTGTTTCAGGGAACTACGTCCACTCTCTGGGTAACGTAGTACAATCACCGCTACTCTTTTGTTATTCGTCAGATTGAAATATTTGAATGCCAATTGCGTTTGCTGTTACGGTGCCGAGGCGGTGAGCGCCTGTTGGAATGCCTACTGCACTTAACGTGTTAACAAGCAAACTACAACAGTTTACTTATCCTCCATAAAAATAACATTGGAATTTTACATTTTTTCAAACTTTTTTATTTTCCCTGTAACCATTAGGCGCATTATAACGCTTCAATATACTAAATTATTTGTGTTTTTTTTAAGCTCTACAAAATGGTTTTGAAAGAAATTGTTAAATTTTATGTTTTTAGGGTCAAAAAATTGGTAAAACCAATTTTTACCCCATAAAAACCCCCCCTAAACCCCTGTTTCCATAGTCCAATCATGCTGGTTCGCAAACTCGTTAGAATAAATGTACATAATTTTTGTAATTTGTCTTTGTACCAAATTTCATCAAAAACAGATCATTTTTGCTCAAGTTATCTTGCTAACAGATTTTACATATATGAATTTAAATGGATGGTGTTTTTGGCCTCTAGGGACCTCAAAACAAAAAAGTAAATTTGTCTCGGGTCCAGGTCTTACCATGAGTACTACGGTAATATAGCTTATTCCCTATGGGAAATTCGCTAAAAAGTGAATACTTGTACATTCTTATTTGTACATAAATTTAACTCAAGGTTGTGTGATATTGATAATAGTACAATGATTCTGTCACTAATTAATTGGATCTTGAAGTGTCATCAGTTTTGTAGATAGTTTAAAACCACAGGTTTTTTTATCATTTGTGTATTGGTAGTTTTAAAGGAATTTGGATTTTTAAATAATTATAACTTATTGGATCAACTACAATGTTATGATAGGACTCAACCCCATTTTTTAACCGACTTCCCCACTACCAACAAAAGGAGGAGGTTCTCAATTTGTTTGTGGCGATTTTTTTTCTTCTATGTATGTTCACCAATTTCTCTGTGATTCTTTTACCGATCAGTGTGGTTCCACCACCAAAATAACCAGGAGAGTTTCTATTTGGTACCTTATATATTATGTTTAAGAATAATATTTGTTTCGGTGAAAAATTCTGAAAACCTTAAATATTCAACATTTATTTTGTTTACATTTGTGCAGATTGTTTACATTTGTGCAGAGAAGGCAATAAATAATAATAACATTCCTACAGCTGTTAGTTGAAACCATTTAAATGAAGCTACAGACAATTCTTCATGAAACAGTTGCTTCATATTGATCAATAAACTATTTCTTGCCATGGAGCCTAAATGAATTACATTGAGAAAAATGCATTTTGTTTTGGTTACTATAAAAAATGTATTTTAACGTTTGACCTGATTTGTGTATACAGTAATTCTGTTTTTAGTATTGAATATTCTGACTTACAAAAACATGTATGTTTCAGTGAATAGCTGTATGATATTGACAAATAAAGGTGTACTGTGAAAACCAAAGCATTGGTAAAACAGGTCTAAATATAAATTAAATGCAATTATTCCTTACACGACCTAAGAAGTGACAGTGCATAATCGTCAATTGTCTTAAAAGTGTTAAATATTTTAATTACTAAACATGCATTTGCAAATGTGGAATGTTTATTGATATTCTCTACCCAGTTACTATATCATATCAATACTATTATGCCTGCTTCGGAAAGTCCTAGAGGAAGATGATTTGCAATTTCGACTAGGCTATATCTTGATCAAACAAAACCACCTACATGGCTTGCACCACTTTTAGCTGAACCAATCTTTCATATACATATTTCATTTGCAGATGTGGAATGTTTATTAATATTCTCTACGCAGTTACTATAACATATCAATACTATTATGCCTGCTTCGGAAAGTCCTAGAGGAAGATGATTTGCAATTTCGACTAGGCTATATCTTGATCAAACAAAACCCCCTACATGACTTACACCACTTTTAGCTGAACCAATCTTTCATATAATATTTTCCAAAGGTACTATACGTGTTAACGACCAATTTTCCACTTTTGAGAGATTTTTTAGTGCTGGTAGCTGAGGAATAACTTTCATATTGTTCCAAAAGGCTTGAGACGTTACTGTATTTCTTTTTATAATGTAGAAGTACTCCGATTGCAGGAAACGATGATGTCTGACATTTCAATGTATCTAAAAAAGACAATTAGTTTTTCATTAGGCCTAATGTAATGGACAACTCTTTCTTTCTTAAGGAATATCTAAAAATGTGTATTTTCATACCCATTGATTATGTAACCTGAACAGGTGACTCAAGCAGTTTTAAAATAATGATTGTTCTGTGGAACTTTAGATTGTTTCAAACAGTTTTGCTTATCAAAAAACCTCAAGTACATAAAAAATTATACAGTCACTAAAAATCATGAAATAATTGATTTTTGTAAAAAAATACAACCGACTTCAAACACTCTAAAAAGAATGAAATATTTCAATAAAGTAAACTTTTGTATTAGGCAAGCTCACGTATTTCAAGTCGGCGCAGCTCAAACTGCAAATATGATTGAAATTGAATACTGTGTGTGTATTTTGAAAATCAATAAATTGTAGCTGGATAACATAAATATATAAAAAACATACTGAACTGTTTTGTTTATATATTAAAGGAAATATTTTCTTGTATTTTATGTTTACTTCACAATAAATGCATTATGAAAATAACACACACAAATGTTCTATATGAATAGGAAAATAATTTAGTTTGATATTATGATAGGGAAAAGAAGCTAGTTTAGTATTTTACTTTTCCAAGTTAGAAACATTTAAATGCGTTATAATCTTTTTAAAGATACTCGTTAATACCACTATAATGCCGATCTCTGATTACGGTAATAAAATAACACTTAACGCATAACTATGAAAAATACATGCAGATTAACACCTTTAGTTATAGATAGTCACCTGCAATATGGACACCCTCTTTAAATTTTGTATAAAAAATCATCATAGAGCCGCGCCGACTTAAAATACATGAGCTTGTCTAGGCCTAATACAAAAGTTTACTTTATTGAAATATTTCATTCTTTTTAGAGTGTTTGAAGTCGGTTGTATTTTTTTACAAAAATCAATTATTTGTATTACTAATAGCAAAATAAATGTAATAAACTCGTTAAATCCATTCTTACAGTGATTTTTTTTTCATTTAATTAATAGTCCAACTAGAGGTAAAAACTGCCTAGACAATGTGTTTGTTAACCACAAATCTGCTAAGCCCTCTTTTTTAAGTTTGTTAGATATCCTCAAAGGTGGCCAGCTTGAGAAGCCATAAAACACACACAGTAACCCGGCTGCCTTCATTCTTGAATATGTCACATTTACTCTACATAAATATTAATGTTGGAGTTTTGTGTTGAAGAGTATTCTTTGCCGAGAGCTCAACACAGACTAAAGGCAGCTCAAGAAGAAGCTGGACTCCCAGAAGCAACTGTGACAGCAAGGAAGCAAGAACTGCAAAAGTTTATCACATCACTGACTATTTATTGTAGTCAGATCGGTGATACAAGGCCTTTGTCTTATTGCAGCTTTAGTCCAGACTCGACCATGCTAGCAACATCTTCTTGGTCAGTATCAGAAACCTCTGTATTGCCTTATCCTCCAATGTTTATCTTAAACTTGCTGTCCATCATTTTTGTAAGACTGATAGTTAACACAAAGGTCTAGTAAGACTTTTTATTCTTATTATGATGTTTAATAAATTTAAAAATAATTATAGTGTTCCTGAATCATTGATGGTAATGTTAATACAACTGATTTACATTTACAGTATTGTCTTTAATTTCCCATTAGCTCTGTTAATTTTCCACAATGTAGCACCTTTAAAATATTCAAAATTTTTCTTTGAATATTTACAGAAGTTATGGTTATTAATGACTTTTACATTTTCCAAATACTGTAGCCCCTTACTAAATTTGTCCATAGAAAAGATCCATATCCATAGTATAAGTTTGTACTGCTGTATGGTGCGATCTTTATGCAGTGGCGGATTTACCTACGGCGCCGCCCCTAGGCCCGTTCGGCCGGTCGCCCCTTTGTGTTCCGCGATTGAGGAAAGGTTTCAGCGTAAAAGCAATATTAAACTTCCCGTTGGCATGCTTATTACTGCATTTTCCAGGAAAAACATAGTCACTATATGAGTAGGGCCTACTTTATATTAAATTTGTATTAATAGGTTTTAAGAAAAACATATATTTTGTTGTTGAGACAAGAATTTAGGGATGGACGGGTCCCGAAATTTCGGGAATTTTTCGGGAAAAAAATATTCTCGATTATCGGGACGGGATTACATTTGACTCGGGAATTTTTGGGGACGGGATTTGGTCCGATCGTTGGCGATTTTTCCGCTTCGCGAGTGCCGATAACGCCGTTATTGCGAGCGATAGGTCCGCGAACGCAGGAGACGAAGTCATTTCGACGATTACGCCGTGACCGCGTAGTCATAACGACGATCGCGCCGTGGCCGCGATTATTGGACCGACGATCGCACCGTGACCGCGAGTCATAACGACGATCGGGCTGTGACCGCGGAGTCATAACGACGATCGCGCCGTGACCGCGGAGTCATACCGACGATCACGCCGTGACCGCGACTCATGACGACGATCGCGCCGTGACCGTGGAGTCATACCGACGATAACCCCGTGACCGCGGAGTCATACCGACGATAACCCCGTGACCGCGAGTCATACCGACGATCGCGCCGTGACCGCGAGTCATGACGACGATCGCGCCGTGACCGTGGAGTCATACCGACGATAACCCCGTGACCGCGGAGTCATACCGACGATCGCGCCGTGACCGCGAGTCATGACGACGATCACCCCGTGACCCGCGAGTCACAAGTTTCTATAGGTACCTGTAAATTGTTACCCATTTTTTGGTTTTTATAGATCAGTGCCACAAATGGTAAAAATTGATTTTGTATGTATTTTTTGGTAACTGCAATACAGTACTTTCTTTTTATGCACAGAAAAAAAATCCTGTCCCGTCCCGTCCCGAAAATTGGGAAGGAAATAAAAATCCCGTCCCGAACTAAAAATTCAATCCCGTCCATCCCTAATAAATATGAATATGAATAGCCTAAATTAATCGCCGAACGCATTGCCGTTCTTAACTAAATTCAATTCAAATGTATTCAGCTTAAATTGGTTTTGTTTTGGTTTTTCTTATAATTTCTATGAAATTATTAATGCATATACAAATGCTGCGCCTTCCTCACGTTTTTAACGAATAGCTGCATTTTTCCCCTTCATAATTCCCTAATGTTAATACACCATTTTAAAGATAGATAAATAAGGAAGTTAGTTAGTTGAATATTAGAATATCAAACATTTTACTGACTTTCTTTAGCTATAAAATTTAAACGGAATTTTTAATAAAAATCAATTTTACATTTGAAGCTATTTGCAAACCATTGTATGAAGAGTTGTTACTTTGGTATTGTGTTTAATTTGCAGTAAATTTAACCCTCTTTCAAATAATACCAGTTTTAATATCTTTCAAACGTGGGTTTGGCTTATAACGTCAAATTAACAGTGAAAAGTCCTGTTATTTGAAAAAATCACAAATGACGCCATAACAGCTAAACGGTAAAGGTCAGACCAGAGTTTATATACATTTACTGGTTCCTTTTGATGATTAGAATAAGCTGTTAAAATTAATGCATTCAGTAGTGACGCACCCTGTATATATTTGAATTTAGGTGTTCACGTAATAGGGCTGCTGATTATATTAAATTACAGTAGTAAAAGTACAACAGAGAACCCTAAAAATTATATTTCTAGTAGATATATATATTCTAGTTAGTTATATATATTATATACAGGGTCTTTTTAAAAGAATGCCGGGATTTTAAATGATAATTGCTTGGGTAATATTCAAGGCAACTAAACGTTTTATACGTAAAATTGAAACTAAAATAACTAAGATTTGTTTCTCCTGTAGCCAGGGAGGAAATTTTGACCTTGACATGCGTAAAACAGGTGCGTGGTGGTAGGCCAATATTGTGACCCATACGCCAGTCGTTAGTATGACGTTTACGGCACAACGGAAGACACAAATTGTAATCTGAGGCTTTTAAATCTACCACTTGCACGTCTGTTTCACAATTATCATTACTTTTAATTTCAATAGCAACGTTCGAACTATTCAACCATTATCTTTGTATTTTTCTGTATCAGAGATTTCAACTGTATTGACAGTTTGAACTTTAACACTATCATTGTCTGTCGTATTAGTTATCGCACTCGTACTTGGGTTAACAGAAAACTCGTCGTGTTTGCTTTCATTTTCTTGTTGACTATTTTCATTTACTTGTTCTTTTAGCGAATTTCCCTATAGGGAAGTAGCTATTACCGTAGGTCTCATGGTAACACTTAGGCCCGGGACCGATTTATACTTTTTCATTTTGATGTCCCCAGAGACCAAAAACACCGTTCGTTCAAATTTGTATATATGTATATATATATATATATATAGATTTATATATATATATATATATATCATACTAATATTATAAATGTGAAAGTTTGTGTGTTTGTTTGTTTGAAGTTCAATCACGCATTAATTACTGGTCGGATTGCAATGAAATTTGGTAAGATGATAGCTCACATTCCCGATCAACATATAGACATATTCTTACCTCAAAAATCCTTTCGGGCTCCGCCCCAGCGGCTCTAGAGTTTCCCATGTTAACCTTATGAGTATTCATATTTAAAAGGAATTAAATAATTTTGCCAGCTGTTTCAACTACTCAATTTGTTTCTATGATATTCAATAGCATTAAAAGGTTATACGGTTTACCAACAGGGTTCAGCACCACTAGTTCTTTATACATTTATGACAACAGCTAATTTGAACCAAGCAGCAACAAAAACCTGAGTGTGAGAACTTTACTTCTTTCTATTGTTTAGGTAAAGTGGTAGAACATTATGGCTATGGTAGATGTTCTATATACTATAGTATACTGTAGATTATAGTAAACCAAATTTTCTCAAAACGTTTCCTCTCTCATTGCAAATGCAAAGCACGAGTATTTAACTACAATAAGCATTGTATACGAAACCCGTACAAAGGACGGGTACTCAGCTAGTTGAGCGAAGCTCACTTTCCCTCACTTTGTAACTTCTTTGTAAGAGCATCAGAATGTAATGGATTGACCAATTGATATGAAATTTGGCCAACAGCTAAAGAAAACTGAGCACAATGTTTAGGTAAAAAAATATTTGCAAACTTCCTTCTGGATTTTATTTTACGGGTCACGCAATTTTGCTTGTTATTTTAATGTAAATTGAAAGAAAAATTATATTGGGTTTATGACATATGGGCTTATCTCGTTTCATTTAAATAAGATAAACATATGAATTGTTTGTAACTGTTTTGTTTACATTTCAATGTTTACTTTCATCCTAGGTTAAAGTTGGAATGTAACAGTTTATCAATGGAAGTAACAGTTTTGCTGTATTTGTTTTGAGAAATGTTGATTGCACGAGTACATCCCGCTATGCGCATTTACAAAGTACAAGCAAATGGTCAGGATGGCCAGTTTCAGTACAAAGGTAACATAATTAATGTTGAACAAGATATTAATGAAATAGCATCTGTCTTACCTACACTGCCCGAAAACTTTTAAGTCATCATTGTCCAACGTCAAGGCGTCTTTGGCCATATCGATTTCACAGTTCGACGTGAAAAACTACATCAAGCACTTATTTGGCTGAAGGCAAATAACCCATTCTATTTTGACATAACCATTAGTGATGAAACGCTAGTCAATGATTTTGTTCACATGAGAGTACCGTGTGTACGTGAAAACCAAGAAAGTCCTGATGAAATCGAAGAAGACCAAGTTGAAGAAACATCGGTGCCTATGATTGCGCAGTCTCGTCAAAGGGATCAAGTTCAGAGACTAATGTGGCCGACCGGAACACTGTTGAAGGGGAACACATTGTAGGTTGTAGCCATTGGCAATCTTTAAATAATGTTTCGCTCAATTGTGCGTCTAAAGTGTAACGGCAGACCACCCTAGTCTAATATATAAAATTCTCGTGTCACAGTGTTTGTCTGCAAACTCCTCCGGAACGACTTCACCGATCGTTATGAAATTTGGTGTGTAAATTCTGTAGGTATGCGAATCGGACGTAAACTATTTCCCGTTTCGAAATTCTTAAAAGGGCTCCGCCCCAGTGGCTCTGGAGTTTCCCATGTTAACCTTATGAGAAATGGAATTAATGAATCTTAACAGCTGTTTCAATTAAACAAGTTGGTTCTGTTCTATGATGTTCAATAGCATTAAAGTTACAAGGATTACCAACAGGGTGCAGCACTATTATTTCTTTTACATTTATGACAACAGCTAATTTGCAACCAAAAGGTGAGTGAGCGTAGCGAACGAACTTCAACCTGGAGGCGAGTGAGCGTAGCGAACGAGCTAACCTGAAGGCAAGTGAGCGCAGCGAACGAGCTCCAACCTAAAGGTGAGTGAGCGTAGCGAACGAGCTCCAACCCAAAGGTGAGTGAGCGTAGCGAACGAACTTCAACCAGGACGTGATTGAGCGATGCGAACGAGAGAGGCGAGTGAGCGTAGCGAACGAGCTAACCTGAAGGCAAGTGAGCGCAGCGAACGAGCTCCAACCTAAAGGTGAGTGAGCGTAGCGAACGAGCTCCAACCCAAAGGTGAGTGAGCGTAGCGAACGAACTTCAACCAGAACGTGATTGAGCGATGCGAACGAGATCATCTTGAAAATTAAACGTAACGGTACTTTCTTTCCATCGGTCTGTCTTAAGGGGAAACCTATAACTTAGGCGATACGAAGTTCGCCGGGTCAGCTAGTATATATATATATGTGTGTCCGTGAACACGATAACTTGAGTAATTTTTATCCGATTTTGATGAAATTTGGTTTAAAGGTGTAAGGCGGGATAAACTTGAATGAGTTCGCGATCCAGCATGCTCGGACCATGGGAACAGGGTTTTATGGGGTAAAAAATAAAAATTGGTTTTTCTCACTTTTGACCCTCAAAACACAAAATTTCCCAATTTTCCTCTAAACCTTCTTAAAGAGCTTAAAAAAAAAAAACAATTCAGTATATCAAAGTGTTTTTGTACGGTTATTGGTTACCAACTAAATTAAAAATTGGTCAATTTAAAATTCCCATGTTATTCTTATGGAGAATATTGTAAAATGTTGTAGTTTGCTTGTTTATGGATATCTTTTGATCAAACTTTGGCAAATATATTCATTTTATACTAAGCAATAATTATTTTACTTAAAACACACACTTTATTAGTTTCCTTGTAGCAGCAAACCTAGGTACTCGTTAAACCTAATGTTATTTAAATAGATCAATTGAAAATCAATTCAGCCAAATGGAGATTCGCTAAGACGGCAGGTTTGCTGCGGCGGGGGTATTTACAAAAATAACTCTCCACTTTTTTCACAGATTTTAAAAGGGAAGTCTCTCTCTCACGCTTTTCCTTTGACTGTTTGCGGAATGCTGCTCCACTTAACTTTTTTAGTTTTTCACTCATTATTGTTATTTTCTTCATGCATATTTACAAAATTAAAATTACTAAAAAAGAAAAAAAAATCAAAAGCGGTTAGGCCACTCACAAAATTAGTTTTTTCTTTTAAATTGAATAAATACCGGTAGGGCTTTTTATTAATAAATTTTACATTTTAGATTAAATTACATTAATTAATTATCAATTATTATTACATTAATTTGATTAAATTATTTAGATTATATATTGTTCAAATTGTTCAAAACAAAAATAATTTTAACTGACCTTTCCACGATTTTAACTGATTAGATTCCACGAATCCATTCAGTTATTTGTTATGGGCCTACTATTACACTTTATGCATTTAAATTAACTAGAGGACCCAATCTGATCCGCAGAGTTAAAATAAATAGCAGTTACCCATGGGCTTCACCCGCTTGACTTGTATTGTGCTCGCTACTGCTACTCGCAGTCTATATTATGTCTGCATCTGCACGTCGGGACATGAACGTGAGTCATCTTCACCGATAGATAATCACCTGGCGCCCGCCGCCACGCACGCTGCCCGTAGTCGCGCCGCCCGTCACGTTACCCGCTGCCTGCCGCGGCCAGGCGCCCTTCAACGGCACGTTGCCTAGCGTGCCTTACGGTAAATCCGCCACTGTCTTTATGTTCTTATCTGTATGGTCCATTTTTCTCTCTCTAGGCGTTACTTACAAATTTGCGCCGTACAAACCTCAGATTTTCTGTATTTCTGACCCCTAGTTTAGAACTACAGTAGTTCAGTTTAGATCCACACTATAGTGTTAAAACTATCACTCGAGTCCAATTTTTCTTACTAACAGGACATAATAAGTGTCCTGTTGTTTGTTAACAGGACACTTAACATAAATTATGTAAAGTGAAACATTATTTGTTTAATGTTTGGAATCCATGTTGATGGTTTGTACATTCACTCACTTGGTTTTATTTTCAGGAGTGGACTTTGCAAATTATGGTCAGTGCCAGATTGTCAGCAAGTATGCACACTAAAAGGTCACACTTGTAATGTCGGCGCCATTGTCTTTCACCCAAAGGTCGGACTGCAGGATACTGTCTGTGGTCTTGCCTCATGTGCTGTTGATGGATCTGTCAAGCTTTGGACTCTAGAGAGGTCAGTCAAATAAGTGTCTTATCTTATCACAAAATGTGAAATAGGGGTGAGTTTTAGGTTAGCTCCTATGACAAGAGTCTTACCATAGATAAAACATACTCCCTTAGTAGATTTTCCATCCTTATGGAACAGCTGAAGACAATTTTATTGTTAGTTCTGTACGGTATATGTAGAGGTCGTGTTTTGTTTACAATTTGTTTCCCGTTATTACAGTAATTTAAAACCTCGTTTAACTAAATAATACGATCTAATCAAAACAATAACTTGTCGCCTAGTTATATAACCAAACAGTAAAGCACAAATCAAGAAATTAACCCTTAAATAATAGGAACAAAATTTCGTTGACACTAGCGCCCAGTGTCACCTTACATGAACTAGACACGAAAAACGTGCTTCAAAATTTACAATGGGATGAGAAGTCTACTTGTGTTGGTTAGTCTATGGTCTTACTTAACTCTTTGTTGTGAAATTTGTTTATAATTTTTTGGTGACAGGGCCTCTTTCATAACAAATTACAAACTAATATTATTAGTAAATCAGCTTATCGCTTAATGCAAATCCAATGGAAATTACAAGTTAAAACTTGTAACTTTATTATAAAGTAGTTTATTATAAAACAGGCCCCAGATGTTGAGTTTGTTTATGCCAATATGTCTCTCAACACTGATTGACAAAAATGTACATATTTAATTAAAATAAAAGACAAATAATACCCCCGCAGCAGCAAACCTGCCGTCTAAGCGAATTTCCATTTGGCTGAATTGAATTTCAATTGATCTATTTAAATAACATTATGTGAAGAAACTATCTAATTAATCAAAATGAACATTTTTGGAACAGTATTTTATCTATTAATTTCAACAACTCATCTCAAAACAAAAGGTAAATAATAACAATAAATAATCAGTTCATTTGGTCTTTTAAATATAAAACATATGGTTAATTAATAACCCCACATCTCTCTTTGTCACACATCTTTTTTTAATCATATCGTTTTGGTCTTCTTAGGATTCTCTGACTTCTTCGATAAGAGTCGTGGTTTAGTTGATCAGGTACACGAGGGATTGTATTAGGCTGATCAATATGTATTCTTTCTTCTAATGGCAATAGTGTTAGATGCCATCGATTTCTTCTAAGCCGTCTTCCATTATTTAGTGTTACCCAATATGATCGGGGATACATATCTGATTTTGATAAGATTTCTCCTTTACATTTCAGGTCTCTAATCCAGACCTTATCCCCTTTTTCCAGAGGTTTTAGTTCACTAGCTCGTTTCCTGTTGTCAAAATTCCTCTTCATTCTCTCTTTTATGCGTTTGTCGTTTTGTTGAAAACCAATCAAATCATTAGTATTGACCTTTTCAAAATCTTTCAATGATGGGAGATTTGACCTCAATTTTCTCCCATAAAGCAGCTCTGCTGGAGACAGTCCCGATTCTAACTTTGTTGTGCGGTAAACTAATAACCCTAGATTTGGATCTTTATTTTTCAACAATATTCTTTTAGCTATTGACACTGCGTTCCTGAGGAAAGTACGGACTGGTGGTAGTTGCTTCAAACCCATACTCTTTTGCAAAATCCTTGAACTCTTGTGATGTGAGTTGAGTTCCGCCATCAGTCCGAATCTTGTATGGAATTCCATGTCTTGCAAAAATGTTCTTTAACTTTCCTACAACCAAATTGGAGGACAGAACACTGAGTTCAACTAATTCAATAAATCTTGAATAATAGTCTTGAACCACCAAGAAACACTTTCTATTACACGTAAATAGATCTGCGGAAAGATAATCCCAAGGACCTTTTGGTAGTTCTGTGGGCATCAAAGGCTCTTTGTTCACTTGACGGTGTTCAAGACACACAAGACAGTTTTCTACTTCAGACTTGACATCTCTCGAACAGCCCAGCCACCAGACGGATTCTTTTGCTCTTGAACGACATTTCACTATACCTAAATGGCCTTCGTGAATTTTGCTTAAAATTTCTGTCCGTAAGCTTCTAGGTATGAACATTCGTCTTCCTTTTACTATCAAACCATCTTCCAAAACAAGTTCATCTCTATATTTCCAAAATATTGAGTTCTTATGCCAATTATTCTCCAAAATTGACGACAAGATTTCTCGACTCTTGGGATCATTACCTTGAGCTTGTTTAATTTCTTCTAGCCGTTTATCTGAACACGGGAAAGTTTCTACAATGCTCCTGATGAATAGCGCATCGTCTACAGTCAGTTCATAGATTCTGTCTTTGACGAAGTCTTCTTTGATGTTTCCAGGACTTCGAGATAAACAATCTGCCGTGAAGTTTTCTTTCCCAGGTAGATAAGTTGTCTTATAATCAAAGACTAAAAGCCTCATTCTAAATCTTTGAAGTCTAGACGAAAACTCTGAAATAGGCTTTGACCCTAGAATTTCTACTAATGGTTTGTGGTCTGTGTACACTTGAAATTGCTTTCCCAAAATATATATTGAAAACTTTTCACATGCCCAAGTCACACCTAATGCTTCCTTTTCTGTGTTTCAACATCAGTCAAACTTCTGGATGCATAATAGCCTAGTCAAAATACGGTCCAACATCAAACTTAAAGCAATAGAAATGAAATATATGGGATTTTGTCAACAAAGGGGTCCAGAACATCATACTAAAAATCGAGAAAAATCGAAGTGGCGGAAAGCCGCCATATTGGAAAAAAGCTTCCGCCATATTGGATTTATGTAAGCTTTTAGTAAAATGGATATAGTTTGACAACTAAGCGTCTTAAAAATCTCCGGTTTGTTTTAATAGCTTCCTCATTAAGCTTACTTCAAGATAACAACAATTTTTATATCATTTCAATATTTTTTTGTTTAAATGAGACAGCTTTAAATTTAAAAAATACCAAATTTCAAAGATTTTTTTAGTAAAACCTTTAAATTTTTGCTAATATGAACTCAGGTGATATGAAAACACATATTTTGTGGCTGTAAAAATAATCTGCATTAAATTTTGAACAATAATAACCATCACATCAGTTTGCATCTTGCTTTGATGATGGGATATATTATGGGATATATTTGTTATCAGTCCTCAATTTGGAACGCTAGCCGTGACGCGCGCTGCACCGCTACATCTAATCCGGGTGAAATACAATTTGAGGGGAGAAAGATTGCTTTAAGAAAATTTAGACCATTATTTGAAATCATTTATACAGGATAATATACAAACAAAAATCCGAAAAAACCGAGCATGGGAACACTGAAAAAGTAGACGTTTTCAAACATAACAAAATTCAATTTTTCATAATAGACAACTACAGTAGTACTTAGTCAGAGAAATATAGGATATGACCTTAAAACTTTTTTCAATGAAACGTTTTATTTTTTTAGTTTTAGTGTTGGGGTGGCAGAGTGACATACTAAAAGTTATTCAAAGATTATCCACGGGAAACCCCCTAAAACGACTATGAAAAATGGCAACTTTTCTTAAAATTTACAAATAAAAAAATCCACACGCATTTTTATGAAATTTTTTTGAGGAATTTAGTTGGTACACTGCTGATATTTATTCGTTATTTAGTACCTAATTTCGATAGATAACCCTTTTTTGACCGCCATCTTGGATCGCCATATTGGATATAAATAAAATATTTTAAAAGTAATGATAGTTTCGTGACACACCATTTTAAAATAGATTTTCACAATGATTTCAATTTTGGAATGCGTTTTTAAATAACATTTTTCGCTTTTAAGATAATTTAAAACAAAAACTTTACCCCATACATTTCTTATGAACGTTTCGTACCTTGAAAATTTTTAAAATTATATTTCTTACATCTCCAGTTATTATTACCACTTGCAGTCCGTTCTAACCTTAAATTATTCAGTGATGTAAGGGCTGTCATTTCATTATTTTGGCTATTGATAATTAAAATATGAAAGTTAAATAGGCTACATATATCCTCAATCTTGAATAACTCCAAAAACGCTTTATAGTCTTAAATAATTCGGCAAAGTATTGACTCTTATTTTAGCTATGGATTACGTATTTATTTATTTAGAATTGAGGAAACGTCTTTAACTGAAGACAATTCGCAAAATAAAAATTATTTAATCCATACCTAAAAAAGAGGAAGTATGTATGTATGTATGTGTCCTATAGACTCCGAAACCGCTAGACAGATTGTAGTGAAACTTCCAGATATTATTCAAGGATAGTGTGTGTGAAGTTTGGTGCAGATCCGTCATAAGGGCTCCGCCCTAGACGGTTTTAAGGGGTCGATTGTCAGACTTTTGGAACTACAATTCATACAATAAATATAATTTAAAAGCAGTTTGTTTACTTTTGCCAACTGCATTGTAGACTTGAATAATCACAACATTCTGTTTTACTCATGATTTGAAATAGTGCCACACTGTTTTCACAGAATGCAGCACAGAAAACTATTTTACTTTTTGATAAGTCCATATATATTAAACCATTGACTAAAACCTAAACACAGCATACCAGTGCACTGAACAACGTTTGAATTCTCCAATGTTAAATATGTAAACATACAAAACCTTTATCAAAGTATTATAAAGATTAAAAGGGATAGCAATACCTAAATAACTTTATCCTTTGTTCTGTACCCACACAATCTAACATAAATTATTAAGTGAAAAATAATCGTGTGAGCTATGTCAGGTATTCAAATGCCTCCCGATTTGTCATTAACCCACAACATTACTGTTATTAAAATAAGAGCTCAAATAATACTAATGCGAAACTTAAATCCACGGATGCTGTGCAACGGAACCAGACTTACGATTAAAAAGATTACACCAAATCTGATTCAAACAACAATCATCAGTAGTAAGTTTAAACGAGAAATAGTCTTAATCCTTAGAATACCGATGATTTCATCTGAATTACCCTTTGAATTGAAGCGACTATAATTTCCTTTCGTCTTTTTTTCGCAGTCATTATTATAAGACTCAAGGGCAATCGCTGACTGTCACCGGTTTAAGTGTAGAAAATGTATGCTTT